ATAGTTATATGTTATTAATATTATAATTTAGTTGTTACAATATAAGCATAATATGTAAGTAGTATTCATGAAAATGAATTTTTTTTTATCTAATTAAACTATTTTTTTGATGAATGTTTGACAAATTAATAAACTATTTTGTTTTTATTAATTATAGTAAAAATATTAGAAAAAAATATGCCATAACAATCCGTATCATTGAATGATCAATGCAAACAATTGGTACTGTTAGCATGGTCAATTGCATAGACACTATTGACTACCATAATATGGGTAATTGGATCAATGTTCAGTTGGTTTAGATGTATGTTTTTTTTAATTTTTAAAAAAACTAAATAATTAATTTTTATTAAAATATATTTATTTATTATATTTATTAAGGGATTGCCACTATTCATAGCTGGCTTGATTGCTGGCCTACTCATGCAGATTGAGTTGGTGGGTGTGTTTGCCGGCTGGAAACGACACTATTGTCTGGCACTGACCTTTTATTACTAAATATTTGTTTCCTTATATATTTAAGCAGACATAATTTATATACGAATTAAAAAATTATCTAGCCTATTTAATGTTAATATATTCACCTATGAGTAAATTTGCCACAATTGTATTATTAGTATTATTCATATTAAATGTGAGAATAAATAATAAATTTATTAAATGGATGACATTAGATTAATTAAATTACATATTTTCTATTATACATAAAATAATTAATTAATTAAAATTCTACTTAAATATAAATAATTATATACTTAAATATTAATTATTTGGTTTATATTAGTATTATTGTGTGAATTAGTTTTTAATTTAATTGTCTCATAAATTATGCCAAAACAATCAGTATTATGGAATAGTCGATGCAAACAATTGGCACTGTTAGCATGGTCAATTGCTAGGATAGTATTGTTTATCATAATATGGATAATTGGATTAATCTTAATTGATTACTTCAATGGTGGTATAGATGTATGTTTTTTTTAATTTTTTAAAAAACTAAATAATTAATTTTTAGTGATATATATATATATATATATATTTATTTAATTATTAATAATAATTTCATATAAATTAATTAATTTAGACTTAATGTTTACTATTATATATATATATATATACAGTATTTATTTATTATATTTATTAAGATATTGTCACAACTCATAATTGCTTTGATTGCTGGCCTACTTATACTGATTGAATTGGTGGGTGTGTTTGCCGGCTGGAAACGACACTACTGTCTGGCACTTACCTACACCGGTATCAAAGCAGTAATGGCAATGCTATCACTTATTGCTACTATAATTCCCGGACCGACAGCGACTTTATTTCTACAGAATTTTGTTGGAGCTATTGTTGGCTATATTTACTGTTATGAACTGTCATCAACAGCACCGGTATCAAGTGTACACTATAGTAATGATGGTGTAATTGATATCAGTGTAGTATAAAAACTTAAATAAATTTTAAATAAAATACATATCTGCTTTTTAAAATAATTATTAATAATAAATTAATAATAATGTTTCAAATATTTTGTTTAAAATTATATTAAAAAGTATTGCCATTATATTAATTAATTATTTAAATAATAAATTTCCACAATTAACAGATTTAAATAGTTGGATATAAATTATTTGCTTAATTAAATTATAAACAAAATAAAATGATATTTAATTACAATAAAAAGTAAATTCTATTCATATTATTGTTATTTTTAAAAAAATATTTTTTTGTTTTATATTTTTAAACAAACATAATATTTACCATACAATATGAGTCTTACATTATAATAAAAATAAACAGTATTTATATAATTAAATTTTTAAATAAGTAAAGTTTATATAATATACAATATTTTAATAATAAATTAATCTATTAACTAACGGATGATATTTATGATTTATGATTTATCATTTATCATTGAATTTACTTACAATTAATGTAAATAAAATTCTAGATAACTACAAATAATTAAAAATATTATATTACAATATTATATTTAAAATTAAAATTTTTTTTTATTAAAACACAAATTGTAACTAACAAGTTAATAGCATAGTTATAAAAACTAAATAGTTATATGTTATTAATATTATAATTGAGTTGTTATAATATAAGCATAATACTGTATGTAAGTAGTATTCATGAAAATGAATTTTTTTTATCTAATTAAACTATTTTGTTTTTATTAATTATAGTAAAAATATTAGAAAAAAATATGCCATAACAATCCGTATTATTGAATGATCAATGCAAACAATTGGCACTGTTAGCATGGTGCATTACCTCTATAATATTGTTTATCATATCTACAGTCTTAATCAATTCATTAATTAAGGTAAGTTTTATTTACATTTTATATTTTTTTATCATAACTTAAATTGTTTTTTTAAAAATTAATTGAAATAAAAAAAATTATTATTTGCAAATATAACATGTTAAAAATTACTATTTATTAGATTTCGCCAATATTCATACTTTACCTTATTGTCGGTTTACTCATACTGATTGAATTGGTGGGTGTGTTTGCCGGTTGGAAACGATGCTATAGTCTGACACTTACCTACACCGGTATCAAAGCAGTAATGGCAATGCTATCACTTAGTGATATTATTATTGACAACGGCACGGCAACGGTTATATTTCAACAGTGTTTTGTTGGAGTTATTGTTGGCTATATTTACAGCTGTGAACTGTCGTCACCATCAACAGCACCGGTATCGACTAGTGTCCACTATAGTAATGATGGTGTAATTGATATCAATGTTGTCTAAAAATTTAAATTGTTTTAAAGAAAATACATATTTTTTATTTAAACAATTATTAATAATAAATTAATAATAATGTTTTAAATATTTTGTTAAAAATTATTATAAAGTATAATACAGTATAATAGCCCTTAATATTAATTAATTAATTAAAATTTCCATATTTAACAGATTTAAATAGTTGGATTAAAAATTTTTGTGTTTAATTAAATAATAAACAAAATAAAAAGATATTTAATTACATTTAAAAAGTAAATTCTATTCATATTATTGTTATTTAATAAAAATAAATATTTTTTTGTTTTATATTTTCAAGCATACATAATATTTACCATACAATATACAATACAATATGAGTCATACATTATAATAAAAATATATACAGTATTTATATAAATTGCTATATTGTATTAATATACTGTATATACAAATTTTTTAATAAGTAAAATATCTATATTATATTTTATTATATTATTATCATAACATAAACATAATTAAAATGATAATAAAATTATAAACACAGAAAAATAAATATTTAATTAGATAAAAAAAAGTAAATACTATTTATATTATTTTTTAAAAAATATTTAAATTTTAAAAAATTTGTTTCCATCAGACATTTTTAAATATATTTGTTTCTATATATATATATTCAAGCAGGCATAATTTATATAAGAATTAAAAAATTATCTAGCTTATTTAATGTTAATATATTCACTTATGAGTAAATTTGCCACAATTGTATTATTAGTATTATTCATATTAAATATGAAAATAAACAATAAATTTATTAAATGGATGATATTATTAATTACAAATTACATATATACTATTATACATAAAATAGTTAATTAATTAAAATTCTACTTAAATATAAATAATTATATACTTAAATATTAATTATTTGGTTTATATTATTATTATTGTGGAAATTAGTTTTTTAATTAATTGTCTTAAAATATATGCCAAAACAATAAGTATTGTGGATTAGTCGATGCAAACAATTGGCACTGGTAGCATGCATGCATGCACCATGGTGCATTACTTGGATAATATTGATTATCATATCTATAGTCATAATCATGTCATGTGGCGGGGTAAGTTTTATTTACATTTAATCTTTTTTTTTATTATAATTTAAATTGTTTTCTAATAATTTATTGAAATAAAAAAAATAAAATTTATTATTTTAAAAAAAAATTTACTATTTATTAGATTTTGTCAATATTCAAACCTTGCCTTATTGTTGGCTTACTCATACTGATTGAAATGGTGGGTCTGTTTGCCGGTTGGAAACGATACTATTGTCTGGCACTTACCTACACCTGTATCAAAGCAGTACTGGCAATACTAGCCCTTATTGCTATTATAATTACGGTTAATATTCCCGGACCGGCAACGGCCTTATTTCAACAGTGTTTTGTTGGAGCTATTGTTGGCTATATTTACTGTTATGAACTATCGTCACCATCAACAGCACAGGTATCAAGTGTACACTACAGTAATGATGATGTAATTGATAGCATTGTAGTATAAAATTTTTAATTGTTTTAAAGAAAATACATATTAATAAACAATTATTAATAATAAATTAATAATAATGTTTCAAATATTATGTTTAAAATTATTATAAAGTATTGTAAAGTATTAATTAATTATAGCCATTATATTAATTAATTTAAAATAAATTAACAGATTTAAATAGTTGGATTAAAATTTTTTGTGTTTAATTAAATAATAGACAAAATAAAAAGATATTTAATTACATTTTAAAGTAAATTCTATTCATTTTATTGTTATTTAATAAAATATTTTTTTGTTTTATATTTTCAAGCAAACATAAATTATGTTACATAATACTATATTTACCATACAATATATAATATAATACAATATGAGTCATACATTATAATAAAAATATGTACAGTATTTATATATATTGTATTAATATATATACAAATTTTTAAATAAGTAAAATATCTATATTATAGATTCTATAATATACAATATTTTAATAATAAATTAATCTATTAACTAACGGATGTTATTTATGATTTAGCATTTATTATTGAATTTATTGTACTAACAATTCTAGATAACTATAAATATTTTAAATATAATATTAGAATATTATATTTAAAATTATATTTTTTAAAAATTGTTTATTAAAACACAACTTGGGTAACTAACAAATTAATATCATAGTTAAAAAATACTAAATAGTTATATGTTATTATAATTGAGTTGCAATCAAGTATAAGCATAATATGTAAGTATTATAGTATTCATGTAAATTTTTTTAACTAATTAAACTTTATTTAATTTTTTTTATAAATGTTTGACAAATTAATAAACTGATTTTTTTATTAATTATAGTAAAAATATTAGATTTAAAAAAATGCCACAACAATCAGTATTATGGAATGATCAATGCAAACAATTGGCACTGTTAGCATGGTCAATTGCATGGACAGTATTGATTACCATAATATATGTAATTGGGTCAATCGCATTTACTTTAGATGTATGTTTTTTTTAAATTTTTTAAAAAAATAAATAATTAATTTTTATTTAAATATATTTATTTATTATATTTATTAAGAGATTTCCATTATTCATAGCTGGCTTGATTGCTGGCCTACTCATACAGATTGAATTGGTGGGTGTGTTTGCCGGCTGGAAACGACACTATTATCTGGCACTGACCTACACCTGTATCAAAACACTACTGGCATTTCTGGCCCTAATTGCTACTATACTTACCGCTAATATACCCGGACCGGCAACGGCTATATTTCAACAGTGTTTTGTTGGAGCTATTGTTGGCTATATTTATAGTTGTGAACTGTCGTCACCATCACCGGCACCGTTACCACAAAACACTTTACCACTAATGGTGTAGTTTGATAATAACTATATGCCATAATAACTGTAAATTATAATACATTTATATTTTTATAATTAAATTATTATTATTTTTTGCTAAATATTAACATATCAATAATAATAATGCTTTTGAATAACTGTTATATAAAATACTATATATTATTTTTCTCTAATTGTTTTATTTTAATTAATTGTTTTATTAATATTATTTTAACTTAACATATATATTACTTATGATATGATTTATTAATTAAATAAAATAATTAATTACATAAAAACTATAAATAATATTTGTAACCAAAATGTGATTATTGAAATAAATATGATTGTAATCAGGTATTTACATATTGTTGCTTGTTTAAAAAATCTGTTTATTTAAATGTTTTTTTAGTATTATATCAGTTATATATATTTATACTGTATTTAAAAAAATATTAACTAAATAAATATTAATATTATCAACAAAATATTTAAAACTAACAAGAACAATTTATATTAAGTTATTCATATATTATAATATTAAATAACAATATACATTATGTTTATATAAATGTTAATTAAATAAAATATTATCTATATCTATTAATACATTTTTATATTTCTTAAAACAATATTTTTTTAATAATTAATCTATTAATTAACGGATGCTATTAAATGATATAATAATTTAAACACTCATATAACAATTTTTTAAAATTATAATTTAATTATATATAAACTATTGTATTTAAGCACAATTAAGGATAAAATACAAAACTAATATTTTAGTAAATTATTTTGCATATAATTGATTAAATAATTTATATATACATAAGTAAAGTAATCTTATGTTTAATTAATATACAGTCATATATGTAGTTAAAGTTTGATGACACTGATATTATTTAATAAATTTATTATTAGTTTTAAATAATTTACTTTAAAAAATTGTTTGTATTTTTGTTGTAAAAATCAGATTTTGATATAATATTTATTCATTTATTTTTTTGGTCAAAATTATGCCAAAACAATCAGTATTATGGGATTATCAATGCAAACAATTGGCACTGATAGCATGGTCCATTAGCTGGATACTTTTAATTATCTTAATATGGATATTTTATTCAGCCAACTCTGGTGTATGTATGCTTTTTTGAAAAAAATAATTAAATAATAATTTATTAAAAATTTTTAGTAAATAAAGTTTTTTATTATAATGATTATTATTATATATTTGACCTAACTTTAAAAAATAATAATTTCAACTATAATAAAGTGTATAAGATTTTATTATATTTATTATTAAGGGATACGCCATATGTATTGATGGCCTGACTGTTGGCTTACTTATACTAATTGAATTGTTGGGTGTGTTTGCCGGTTGGAAACGACACTATAGACTGACACTGATCTATACCGGTATCAAAGCTATACTGGCAATGATGGCCATAATTGCCACAATAATTACAGCGGCCATTAACTTTCCCGGACCGTCAACGGCTGCATTTCAACAGTGTTTTGTCGGTGCTATTGTTGGCTATATTTACAGCTGTGAACTGGCACCATCAGCACCGGGATCAAATCACAACAGTGATCATCATGATGATGATGATGGTAGTCAACTTGATAATAACTGTGCGGTATAACCAATTTAAATTTGTACTTTAAATTATTAACCAGTATTGTTAAATTGTTTGTTTTTTTATTAATTAATTATTTTTAAATATTTAAAATTATTTTAATTAAATTTAATATTAAAATTTAATATTTTGTTTTTTAATAATTTTGTATCACAATGTAATAAACTAAATAGTTTAATATGTAATAAAAATTAATTAAATAAATTCAAATAAATACAAGTTTATAGTTTTATTTAAAAAAACAAAATATTTTATTTAATGACTAAAAATGTTTATACAATGACTTACTATTAAAATATATTAAAATAAATGATTGTTTACATTTTAGCTATGAATTATATATCAGTTATATATTTATATTGTAATTTACTTTATTTTTTTAAAGTTAACCTTAATATCACATAACTAATATCAAATTATAAATTCAACTAAATAGATAATTAAATGTCAATATAATTGAATAAATATGATTTTATAAATGTAAAAATAATTGTAATAAAAATATTATTTAAACAATCAGGGTATTATGGTCAAAGGTCAATGCAAATAATGTATATGCACTGGTATATTATCATGGTCAGTTATATGTACAATATAGTTTATCATACTAATGGTTATTTAATTTTCTTATCTAATCTAATTATGCTAATTGAATCAAATTTAATATATTTAAATATGTGTTTTATTATATGCATACTTGATCTGATTGATGACTAAAAAAGTTTTTATTATTATGATACTATATTTTATACAATATATTTAACATATTTTTCTAACGAAACTAATTTATTTATTCAAATATATTTTTTATACATAAAATTCATGTTAATGCTAATAAATACCAATGAATAAATATATCTAATAATTAGTTTCCGTTTAATTATAAATTAAATGCAGGATTTTTTCATATATGGAAATAGTTTATTTATTTTTAAAATTTATATTTTTAATTGGAAATATATTAATAATATGTATATTATACTGTATAATACAATATTTAATAATATATACTATAATAACAATATTAAGTATTTATTTATAAATGTGTATTAATAATTTAATTAAACAATTTTTATGTGTTTGTATTACTATATATTAAATGTTTTAAAAAACAGAGTTTAATAAAAATTAATTTATTAATTGACTGATTTTATTAATTATATAACATTTATGATTATATTTAAAAATTAATGTAAATAAAATAGTTGATAACTTTTAAAAAATTAAATATTTTAATTAAAATGCTATTATTATTTTAAATAATTTAAAAAATAGTATAACAGTTTATTAAAATACAATTGATTTCAAATGTTAAACTTATTTTTAAAAAATATATTTTCATTTATTGATTAAATAACTACCTGTTTAAGTACTTTTATACAAGTATTCATGTAAATTTTTATCAACTATTTAATTAATGATTATTTATATAATATTTATAAAAAATGTTAACTAAATAAATTTAATTAGTTTTCATTATAAAATTAATTAACGATAAAATATATATTTAAAAAAATAAATAATTATCGTCAAAACTAATGTCAAAACAATCAGTATTATGGAATAGTAGATGCAAACAATCAGCACTGGTAGCCTGGTGCATTACCTGGATAATAGTATCTACCATATTAATGCTAATTACCATGTCATTGTTTAAGGTAAATTTTATAATAATATTTAATTTAATTTTTAATTTTAATCAATTACTATTTATAATATTTTAAATTAGGGTTTAGAGCTGTACATAACTGGCCTGATTGGCGGCTTAGTTATACTGATTGAATTGTTGGGTTTGTTTGCCGGCTGGAAACGATACTATTGTCTGGCAATTGTCTACACTAGTATCAAAATAGTAGTGGCAATGCTAGCCCTGATTGCCACTATAATTACTGCTGCCATGAATTTTCCCGGACCGGCAACGGCTGTATTTCAACAGTGTTTTGTTGGCGCTATAGTTGGCTATATTTATAGCTGTGAACTGGCATCAGCAGCAGCACCTGTACCATCAATACACTACAATGATAATAATGAGCTTGATAATTACACTACAATTTACTAAACATTTATATAAAATTTTATATACAGTATATTATATGTTACTTATAATTTTTTTTTAATAAATAATATTGTTTTGAATATCTGTTAAAATTATTACTGTACTGTATATTCACTATTATGTTAATATAAATTGTTTTACATTAATCTATTATTTTTTTAAAATAAATTATTTTAACTAACAAAAAATAAATTAGTTAATTTGCACTGGTAGCATGGTCAATTACATGGATAATATTGATTCCTATAATATCGTTAATTGGTATATCTAGTACACTATGCGCATCACATATTGCAAATAATTTCGTTTATTTAAATATAATTGTACACAAAATCAAAATTAGCAATTTAATTATAAAAAATATTATTTAAAATTAATAATTTAGTATTTAGTATTCCCTCCATTGTGTTTAATGACTTCTTCGACCCGATCGGGGAACGATTCTACCAGATTAGTGAGGTACTCTCGCGGGAGTGAATTCCAGGTTTCCCGAACTCTTGCGATCAACTGGTCTCGGGACTTAGGTTTCGGGTTTTTTAAAACCGATTCTTTAAGTTTAGCCCATACAGGTTCGATAACATTCAAATCTGGAAAATTTCCGGGCCATACGGTCTTTGTCCAAGAGTTCGGAAAAGTTGACTCAATTTTCCGAATTACCGACTTAATACAGTGGCCAGGAGCTGAATCTTGAAGAAAAGTGGCCTTTCTTTTATTTTTAATTATTTCATTATTATTTATGGCATTTAGATATATCGGTAATATCTTGTCTTCGTAAACTTGGCCAGTGATTGTCTCCTTTTTGTCGCAAACATATAATTCTGTTAAACCATTGGATGTTATAGCTCCCGCGACCATGATTTTAAGCGGGAATTTTGGTCGGCCAATTGATTGAAGACTTTTATTTAATGTCCTAACTCTTGTTGTTTGAGGATTTGGCTTCGGATGTAATTCAATTGATGACTCGTCCGACCAGAGTGTGTTCTCCCGAAGTGCTTTCCCGCGTTCTGTTTTGTCGCAATAACCATCTTTTTTTACCATTTCAGCGAATTTTTTTCGGTCTTCGATATTCTTGACACTTAATAAAGGCTTGGTGTTGACTCTTCTAGCGATTAATCCCCAATTCTTGGTCTTTAAGTAGTTTCGGACAGTTGTCGGCGATATTGTTTTGTCGCGCGCTTTATATGAGTCGCTCATATTCAACTTTTTGGCCACTTTTCGTACAGATGCACCAATCCTATCTTTCATTTGACCACTTATGCTTCTTTTGGTATTAGGTGTCAACTTTGTGTCCACTTTTGAATTGAATCGGTGCTTGAAATCGTCCGTATTTGACCACCGAACCGCCGTATTGTAGTCCACACCTACCTCTTTTGCGATGTCCATTGGCGCCATTCCCGCTTTGGCCAGTGTCCGGATTCTTATTCGGTTGGCTTCTCTTGATGATAACATACCTTATGATGGCTAATCCACTTGATTATCAATTGTTATTTATTTATTATTTATAAAATTAAAGTTAATTTATATCCAATAAACTACAATATGTGTTGCGCATAGTGTACATATAGTTCTGAGGTATGTTTTTTCGTGTGAAATTTATAAAATTAAAAAAAATATTAATTATAAATAAAAATAATATTATATATATATATTTATTAATATTGATAATAAGTTATATAAATAAATGACCTTAACTTATATCCATACTTAATGTGTGTACTAATAATACAATATCTATTTATTTATTAAGGGAGATAAAAGATTATTGCCATTCATTTTAATTTTAATCAATTACTATTTATAATATTTTAAATTAGGGTTTAGAGCTATACATAACTGGCCTGATTGGTGGCTTAGTTATACTGATTGAACTGGTAGGTTTGTTTGCCGGTTGGAAACGACACTATTGTCTGGCACTTACCTACACCGGTATCAAAGCTACAGTGGCAATGTTGGCCCTAATTGCCACTATAGTTACCGCTGCCGCTGGTTTTCCCGGACCGGCAACGGCTATATTTCAACAGTGTTTTGTTGGTGCTATTGTTGGCTATATTTACAGCTGTGAACTGGCACAATCATCATCAGCACCGGGATCAAGTGATGTACACTACAGTCATGGTTATCATCATCATCATGGTCAACTTATTAATAATTGTGCGGCATAGCCAATTTAAATGTACTTTAAAAATCAATTGAATAATATTGATACTTATTATAGAATTATTTTATATAAATTAATTACTTTTAATAATATTTTATTTTTTTTATTTAATAATCTATTAATAAATAGTTAAATATTTCAAAAAATAACTAAATTATTATTTACATATTAGCTATGAGTTATATACTTTAAATCTGTTATATATTTATATACATTTTTATTTAACATTTATATTACAATAAAATGCAAAAGTTATATAAAGTATTATATAAAAAATAGTTATATCTAACAATTTCCAATATGTTATGAAAGTACTGTATAATAATATAATTGTTATTATTTTAGTTTTAAAAAATTTCATTACATTATAATATAAATGTTTAATACAGGCATAACATAATATTACAATGTTATACAATACAGTATTATATTATAGTTTAGTAATTAATTACCTTATTTTATTTTATTAATAAAATTATTATTGAAAAACCTGAAAAATATGTTTATTATTTGAATATTTTGTTTTTTTAAATTATATAATATACTCAATATACCATGTAATTTTATACTGCATATTTAATTTATTTAAAACAAATAAACTATAATAATTAATTAATTAATTAATTATTATGTGTTAATTCATAATTATAGCACTGTTATGGTAGCTACCAGTGCACACAAAAAGTACATTGATAACCTAATGTATAATGCAATAAAATAATCAATTTATAAATATTTGATAAATTTTGATTAGTTAAAAATTACCATGACAATTATTTTAGGATCACTATATTGTAGTCAATAGTTACGATTCAATAGATGGCATATTTTATTTAAAGAGTAAAAACTATTACAAACATCCACTACAAACACATTATATAGTTGTGAGAAATTTTTTAATATTTTTTTTTGCTAACTCTAGTAACTAATTAATTTGCTATTGAAAATTTAATTTTCAAATTATAATTAAGTTTTAATTTTTGTTGTTGGTGATTACAATAAAATATAATAATATTTAATATTGCGCTTCAAACTTTAAATATATAAATATTATTTATATATATGGAAAACAATTTTATTATACATTATTATAAAAAATATTATATCTATTATTTTAGCATTTTATTATTAATTTATTATAAAAATATATATTTGTATTAATTATTGTAATAGTTATCAATATCTATTGTATTATAATATATATATACTGTACTTTATATGAATTTATTAAAGTACAAGTTTTATGAGTACTTTATTTTCTACAATATAATCAATCATTTTATATTGTATATAAACATATATATTTTGATATATATACTGTATATTATATTACCATATAATTTATCATCATAAAAATATTTTATCAATGAATTGTTAGGCAAACATTTTTATTTTATTTATTATGATATATACTGTATAAATATTAGCTTTGTTACTGTTATTTTGTGTAAACTGATAAAATAAAAAATAATTTATAACTTATCTAAATACCACACACTTTAGCAAATATATATAACAAACAAAAAATTGTCGTCCCATAATTTTATTAACTAAGTTATTAATTAACTACATAGATTTTATTTTCACAATATTGTATTATTTTGGTGCAATTAAATTGTTTGTTATATAAAAACTAATATAACTATAGAAATAAATCAATACATAGTTAATATAACTATTTATATAACTATATATATAACTATTTGATTTTATTGTTTTTTTTAAATAAATAATATATAATTCAGTTTAGTTTAATTAATACATTAACAATAACAACAACAAAAATTAATTCAATAATTAAAAAAAAAATTAATAAAATTAATAAATTAATTAAAACATAATAACTATGAGAGCATCGGAATCATTGCATAGTTTTGGTAACTACCAGTGCAAAAAATTTAGCCTACTAGCCTGGTGTATACTATGCCTGATAGTTACCATTGTGGTTATGGTATTGGCAATTAAGGATGCTAAATCTACCTGGAGTAAAACAGATTGCGGACCGGGTGGGTGTAAACATACGGAAGGTCATAATGAGAGTGAAGAGGTATATATTTATTAAAAATATTTTTTATATATAAATAATTATTGTTTGTTTTTTTTGTGCCACACCCACCCCTACACTACATAAGCGCACAATGCGTATAGTGGCCGGTGTTGTCGGTACCATATTTATCTGTATTGAATTGTTCGGTTTGTTCGGTGCCTGGAAAGAAAACTACTGTTGCACTATGACCTACATGTGCATCAAATGTGTATTCATTGTGATAGCATTGTTGGCCGGCATATTCGTTCATCCGGTATTCTGGGGATCGTTTGCCGTCAATTTATTTGCCGCCGCCATAGCATTCCTCTATCTACAGGAGATCAGCTGGCAACAACAATCAAATAACCGGGCTAATTATGCTTGATAAAATAACATTACATCATCACCAACAAAATCAGCATGATCATTTTTTATTAATTAATTTTTACATTTATTATTTTTCAAACAATTTTTTTTAATACATTAATTTTTTCATAAAATAATTTGTTTTATTTAATTAAGTAATATTATTAGTATAATTATTGTTTTTTTATTTTTAATTTGTCTAGATAAATTATTTATTTATTTATTTTAATAATTACTTTACAATTTTTGTTCATCAAATCGGATTTATTGTTTTTATTAATAATTATTTTATTTTTTAGTATTATAACATTTACTTACATACATAAAATATATGATATTATTTAATGGTTAAAATAAAATATATTTCACAATCAAATTCAATTTAATGATAACACTATTATAAGATAATCTCCATATGAGTCATATTTTTGGTAAAAAATAATAATATAAAAAGTCAATTATAATTTTAATATAAGATAAGTAGAGTACATTATATCACTAATATTTAATAATAATTTAATGAATACACTACTAATCAATTGATTTACAATATAATTAATTAATATTAATTATTCTCAATAAATCTAATATATTAATAGTTTTAATAAGTCACAAATAAATAAATAAAATTTGTAATATACTTTAAAATTGCATAAAATTTAGTAGTAATCAAATTAAAGTAATAATACGAATATTTAAATTAATATAATAAAATTGTTTTTTTTCTAAATAACTATTTATAATTTTAATTTATTTTTCATTAAAATTAGCAATTGTCCAATCAATTTTATCAAATTAAATATAATTTTATATTTAATTAAGTTTTCATTCCAAAATTTATTAATATTTATTTTAATTTATGTTATAATTTATAACTAAAAATAAGAAATATAGTAATAAATCAGTGTTGATATGAATGAGTATATAAATAGTAAATAAATTACTTTAATATTGATTTATAGTTTAAAACAAATTTATAATATTCAAAAAAAAACTTGAAAAGTTTTGTTTTCTGAAATCTATACGAGCCTTTTGTGTGTGTGTGTGTGTGTGTGTGTGTGTCTGTCTGTAGCATTTCATTTTGCGAATTTTGAAATTCTGACTTCAGATTCGGTTAGAGGACTACTAATAATGTATTGAAAAGTTTAATTAAAATTTTGATATCTCTTCGGGAACATAGACAAAATGGCGGCCAAAGTAAAAAAAAAATTAAGAAAATTTTTTTAAAGTATATATTTGAATAAAGCATCAAAAACAAGAATAAAAAATATACATTAAAATTTTGATATCTCTTCGGGAACATAAAGAAAATGGCGGCCAAAGTAAAAAAAATTAGGTAAACATTTTAACGTTTAGAATTGTAAAGAGTATCAAAAATATGATATAATATATCAGTATAATTTTTTTTAAAATGGCGGCAAAAGTATAAAAAATTTTAAGAATTTTTTTTAAATATAAATTTGAAGAAAGAATCAAAAACAAGGATAAAAAATATGCATTAAATTTTGATATCTACGGGAACAAAAAGAATAAGTATAAGCGGCAAATGTATAATTATAGATTATTATTTTGTTATACTAAATCATTTGATACCCCACATGACTATAGTTGTTTATTTTGTCATACTGAATCATTTGATACCATGCATTACAATATTTATATTATGTATATTTGACCAGTTTTTAAATTTTATTAAATGTTATTATATAGCCGCTATAATTATAAAACTAATAGTTTTCAATGTTATTCAAGTTCTTTTTCTGAAAATGCTTTCTAGCATTCTTAACTGGTTTTTATATAAAATTTGTTAAATAGAGAATAAGAGTTATTGTAAGTATAATTATATGTATTTTTTATAATTATGCTAATTTATGTTTGTTTTATTAATTATAGATATAATGAGTTTAATTGTTTGTTAGTATGTTTAGTTTTTTAAAAATAAAATTATTTAAATTAAATTTAATAAACTTTTTTCTAATGATATTTCTAATACTGTATCTATATATTTTTTAATAATTAATATATTAATATAAATTGAGTAATATAATTTATTATAAAGTACATACATTAGTACTAAGGTTTAGTTACCTTATTTAAACATATTTTTTATATAAAAGTGACTTGTTGTTTTTATATAATTTATATATATTAATATTAATTAATAACTATAATTTTATTTTGTAATATCTTATATTCAAACACATACAATAATATATTTTACATTTTATTGGTTATTATATACCCTGATAATACAGTAGTAACTAATTTAATTTAAGCATTTATATAAATAAGCATTTATATATTAATATATAACTATCTCTCTATGAACCGTCTAGACCTCCCATTATTATTATTATTATTTTAATTATTATTACATATTTGAAAATTCTGGTATAAAATAATGCACAATCAATACTATTATAATTAAAAGTTTACTTATTATATTCACTACTAAATACAAAAAATAATACTAAATATTAGTTTAGTCAAACAATGGCAGCAAAATTGTTTGCAATGTTTTTGATAATATTATACTACACTATGTATATGATTGCCACCACCCAGTCTACATGTGCCGGTTCCTATTGCGGTGGTCACCAGGGTGTTGAATGTTGTTCCGGCTACAAGTGCTCAAATTATTGCAAATGTAGTCCAGGTGGCAGTTGCATACCTGAGCATCAATTCAATCCAATTGGTTCATTAACTTGTACATTGATTTGTGCTGGTCGCAAATAAAAATAAAACAATGTAAAATAAATTTAATTAATTATTAATTTTTTTTTTTAAATAATAAGTTCTTATAATAAATGTTTTTATATTATGTTGTTTTAGTTTTTTATCAAATATAAGTTTTTTTTGTTAATAATACTAATAACAAATTTATTTATTTTTAATTTTAAATAATAATTATTTCTTTTATATGTACAATTAATTTAAAATATTTTTATTTAAGTTGTATTTGCATGTTGACATTTTTTATTTATTTAATTAAATATGATATTTAGTTTAAAGTTAATATTATTACAAAATATATTAATATTAAAGTTAAAATATATAATAAATAAAATAATTTAATAATTTATTATTAATTAATTTACAAACAATAGACATTTTACTTATAATTTACACTAAATATTAAGCAATAAATACATGATATGATATAAAGACTGTATAATACAGTATATGAAATACATATGTTGTAATCAATTAACAAATAATTTATTAAACAAATAATGTAAGTATTGTTCAAAACATATATTTCTATGAAAAATGAAATTTGTGCTTAAGTTAATTAATTAACTAATAATAATTGTTATTTTTAAAAAATTTTGTAATAAACACTATGATATAACACTAATTTTTCAATTTAATATTAAAAAATCACATTCAGGATATACCTGTATATATAAAAAGTTTTTATTAAAAAAACTATTATTATTCAAAAACATTTTAAGTAATAGAAAACTTTAATTTTTTAATATTTAGTAATTAACTAAATTATAATAATGTCGATTGTTGTTAGACTGACCCTGATTGTTGTTGTCATACAATGTGTTTATATGGATGATAGGAAATTATGCGGTGGTATATATGGCGATAACTGTCCCCAGGGAACGGTATGTAACAAATGTCCCTGCTATGTTGGTTTCTGTATTATACCAGATAAATGCGGTAAAGTGGGCGCAAAATGCGATAGTCGTGGCGATTGTTGCGTAGGATTGTCGTGTGATGTATACAAACCACGTGCCAACACGTGCCAGAAATCCCTGTGCCCTCCTGGCGTGTGCTAATGTTTGAAAATGATATTGTTGCTTTTTAGTACAAAAGAATGTTTTTTTAAATTGTTTTTTTTTAAATTATTTACTAAACTATTTATATATTGTATGCTAAATATTTATTTTTTTTGTATAAAAATTAATAAAAATAATAATAATGAGATTATTATTTTGTTATTTTATTTTCTAAAATAAACTTATAAAACAAATTTTTAACTTATTTAATTGTTATATTAAATAAATATTATTTACTTATCTATTTATATATATATATATATCTCTATTGTAACATGAAATTTACAATTAAATACATACAGATTAACTGAAAATTTAATAAATTATTATTAAAATTAACAATTATTTTTCTTAGACTATTCAATATTTAAATAAATTTTATAAAAATAATTACATTACAATGCATATTTTTCTAAGTTTAAACTTTGATTGATTAGTAAATTATTCAATTATTTTTAAAAGTCATTATAAAAACTAACAATTTGCTTATTTGAATTTAGATTTTCAATTAATACTTATAATAATAATACAAATAATTATAATAAGATATCGTATATAATAATTTAGAAAAAATAATAAACTTTTTTTTTGCTAACTATCAATATTTTTTAAAACACTATGAGTTTTAAGTTATTTATTTGTATTATTTTATTTACAAAAATTTTTATTGCTTTCCATAACGTAATGGCCGGTTGTGTGGGCAAAAAATGCGGTGGTGTTGATAAGCTACCGTGTTGTACGGGTCACGACTGTACTACCTATTGTCCTCATTGTATGTACGGTCAGTGCGCTTCGTTGGCCACATGCGGCCAATTGAATGCCGACTGCAATCAAATGGGCGACTGCTGTCCGGGACTTATGTGTGGCTATAACTCACATAAATGCGAGAAAAATATCTATAATTGTATGTTTTGCGGTATCGGTAGAAAAATTTTGTAATATTTGTAAATATTTAGGACATTATGTATATTTTAAAAATGTTTTAAAAACTACTATCTTAATAATAATGTTGAAAATGTTATATTTATTTTTTATATATATAAATATTTTATTAACAAAAATAAAATTAATTACTGTATTTATCTTAATTGATATTTATATAAAAAATAATACTAATAGGATTTAATTTTACTTTAATGCATAAAACACTAAACATTATCTTTTTTAAAAAAATAAAATATAAACGATAAGATACTGTATTATTATTACTGTATTAGATATTGAAAAAAATTAGCTATAAATTAAAAAATAACTAACAATTTCACAAAATCTTATTATTTAATTGAAAATATTAGTTAATTAATTTATTTATGAAATAAAAATGATAACTTTAAATAATTTACGAAAATTATGGTTATTATTGATAATTATCCAAATAATTAACAATTATTATGGCTTATCGTTGTCCATAAGTCCTGATTGTAAAAACTATTTGCAACCAAAAGGTTCAGATAGTTTTGCCTGTGTCTGTACGGAACGGGAGCCGTGCGCTAAAATTGTGTCACCAGTTAGGACAGCACCGGGTATTGTCAGCAAATGGCAATCGGGCAGAGATGGCGCCCGACTGCGCAAACAGACCATGAAGTTTGGTCAGCCAATGGATCGTAACATCAATGGTACGGCTGAACCGGTAGTCGAGTTGTATGTCAAAGTAAATCGAGAGATCCGTTATCAACAGATATTTGGTTTTGGCGGCGCTTTTACCGACTCGACCGGTATTAATGTACGCAAAGCGGGTGAGAAATTAGGTGACCAGATATTACGGGACTATTTCAGTTCTGGTGGTCTCGAGTATAATGTCGGCCGTATTCCTATCGGCGGCTCTGACTTTAGTTCGCGGGCCTATTCGCTGGACGACAGCAATGAGGACAGAGGCTTAAGGAACTGGAGTCTGGCTGAGGAGGATCTCCAGTACAAAGTAAAGTGTATTTAAACCTAAAATTAAAATGTTTTTTTGTGTTATCTAGAATATTATCATTTATTTTACAACAACAAAAAATAGATACCTATTATACAAAAAGCCAAACAACTGGCCACTCATGACATCCGTTTGTTTGGCAGTCCGTGGTCGGCACCCAAATGGATGAAAACCAACAATGAACTTATACACGGCGGCAGTATTAAGGGACCGGTAGGCAGCGATTATTGGCAAATATGGGCCAAATATTTTGTTAAGTAAGTGGGTTTATGTAAATAAAATGATATACAATTTTAAAATTAAGTTAATAGTTATTGTAATATAATTTTTAGAATTTTTAGAATTAATTAAAATTTTCTATTATTACCAATAATTTGTGTGTGTTTTTCATATTAAATAATATATTAATAAATATTATCTATTATTTTATACATAAAATTTTAAAAATATCATCAATTTTTTGTTTGTAAATTTTATAGATATTTGGATGCATATAAAGCGCATAACATTAGCCACTGGGGTATAACCATACAAAACGAGCCGCAGGCCAACCAAAAATTCAATTCAATGTTGTATACGCCGGAACAGATGCGCGATTTTCTGGCCAAAACATTAGGTCCCGAACTGGACGGCAGTGGTTACGGTCCCGATAAACTGTCGGTCATGATATGGGATCATAATCTAGATTACGTACAACAATGGGTACGGACTATATTTGCCGATCCGGTGGCTTCGCGTTACGCGGCCGGCACTGCCGTTCACTGGTACTCGCATTCGCCGCACGAACTGCTGGACGAACCGCATCGCTTACATCCGGATAAGTTTATTTTGGCCACCGAGGCCTGTGTCGGTGGTGTACCAACTGTTGGCGCCTGGAGTCTAGCGGAACGTTATGCCGAGGATATACTGGGTGTAAGTTTTTATTATCATTATTATTATTAGTATTATTAAACATTAGAAATTATTATTTTTTAAAGATAGTAATAACAGTTTTTTTTGATGATAAGTAGTACTTATTAAGTTCAGTATAATTTGTAAAATAATTTATTAACTTTTAACACATTATTGTATATTATTTAAAAATTAATTAATAATTTATTTGTTGATTAAAAATTTTGTAAAAATTAAAAACTAACAAAGTTTATCATGCAAATTTTTTATTTTTTTAGGATTTATTGCATCATGTAGTTGGTTGGACCGATTGGAACATGGTACTGGACAACCATGGTGGACCATCATGGGTAGAAAATTGGCTCAACGCACCCATCATATTCAACCAGGACAAACATGAATACTATAGATTACCCCATTACTATGCTCTGGCACATTTTAGTAAATTTCTATCACCCGGATCAGTTAGAATAGACTCACAAATTATGTCGAAACGTGTAGATACCGGTAGTAGTAGTAAAGTATCGGTCGGTGCTTTCCGGACACCCGATAATTCTACAGTTGTTATTGTTGTCAATAATGACAACTCGACCGTACAGTTGACTATCGATGATCCGACCCGAGTCGGCAAACTGATGGCAAAATGCGAACCAAAATCAATTGAAACTTATGTCTATTATGATTAACAAAAATTAAAATAAAAATAAATTTACAATAGATTACTATAAAAAAAATTAATTAAAAATTTTCTTAAAATAATTATTGTATTTAATTTGTTGTTCTTGTTGTTGCTATACTATACTAATCAATGTTTATCTTATTATTAATGTATACAAACATAACTTATAATATTTAAATTTTATAATTACTTTAATATAAATATTTTATTTTTATCAAAAGTAAACATATTTTTCCTGCCGACTTTTTAAGCTAATTTTATCTAAATTTTTGTTTATAATAAACTATATATATATTTATTTTATTAAATATTTACAGTTTTTAAGAAAATATTAATTTGAAATTATATAATGTTTAATTATAATTGTAATTATTAATAAAATTTTATAATATAAAATTTTAATTTTATTTATTTATAATTATTTAAAATTCAATATTTTTAATAACTACTAAAAAAATATTTATTAATTTATAGCAATTAAATCATATTTATTATTTGAAAAAAAACAAATTAAATTACTATTTAATATTTAATTATATATTTATAAATTGTTTTAATATTAATATTTTTTAAATCTTTTATGATTTCAATAATTACAAAATTACTATATATATAATTTAACTTAAGAAACTATTAATTATTATACATATACTTAAGTTTATACTAATAATAGCAATAACATTAGTTGGCAAATTTTGGCAACAAATAATAATATTTATATTATACCTGTATATAAACTTTATAACTTAGTAACATTTGATTAATATTTATCTAACATTTTGATGCTTATGTGATTAATTTATATAGTTATTTAAAAAAACATAACTTATAAGTTATAACATGGTGTTTAAGTTTATTATAGTAATGCTAATTTTGAATCAATATTTTTGTAATATACAGGCAAACAATAGTAATGGTGGTACGGGAGCTATATGTCTGGATAGACCCAGACGTATACCATGTGCCCAGGGCTATGAATGCAACGCGTGTCCATGTTATAAAGGCAAATGTGTAGAATCGAGCACGTGCGCACGTGCTAATGCTGTATGTAGTAACGTGAAGCCATGTTGTGCACGTTACACGTGCGATGAACACCTTAAAACATGCCAACCTAAACCATGTCCTAAAATTGGATGTAATATTTTGACTGGATAGTTTTTTTAATTATTTGTTATAAACATTATTATTATTATTATTATTATTATTATTATTATTTTATTTTATTATTTAAATTATTTTTATTTGTTATTAAAACATATCTAGTATTTATACAAAAAAATGTTAAACTATGTTATTCTGTATTAATCTAATAAAATTAATTTTTATTGGTCTAAAATAAAAATTTAAAAAAAATCTCTAATTATTTAGATAACAAATAAAAATTCTTTTAAAATACATTACATATAATAAATTTTATAAAAATATATTTATATAAATAACTTATATAAACATGTTTACAACTTTTTTTATATAAATATATTACTTAAATAATAATCATATTAAATGTTAATTATATTATTATATAACTATTTAATTGTTTATAGTAATGAAAACAAAAAATATGTTGACACTAAGTTTCTATACATATAAAGCATTGAGTTTTAATATTTTATAGCAATTTTTTTTGTTATTTATTAGTCTGTGTACTAATGCAATTGACATATTAAATATTATTTTTTTTAAAGTATAAATATGCAGACAATAATAATAAAAATGATATATTTTATATAAAAAATTAAGTCAATAACATAAATATTACAATTAATTAAATATGAATACATATTGTGAAACAAATATTGTGTTTACTAAAAAACTTAGTAAATTGTTTTTTTAGATATATAAATAATAATGATTAATTATAAATTGTTGTAATTTTAATAATATTTGATAAACTAATAAACATTTATAGTAAAAATATTTCAATTATAAATTATTAATTAATATATTTGTAATTTACTAATAAAAAATAAATCTTTTTTGTTTGTTTGTTAGGTGAGTGAGAAACATATACAGTATTTCCTAATATATAATATAATCAATAAACAAAAATTGCAGAAAAATATTTTATTAAAAATATATTAATATAATTATCTAATTTATCAAATATTGTTAAACAATTACATTGGTTCTTAGATTTTAACAAATAATTTATTTATTAATTAATGTTTGAAAATCTTAAAGTTTTATAAATATCATTACAATGCATAAAATATAATTAAAAAAAACATTAAATTGCATAGCTCACTTTTTTTTGCTATAAAATATAAAAGTGATAATTGTTTTTTACAGTATTTAAAAAAATATAATAGTTATATAAATTGTTGAGTTTTAGTATTTAAAACTGTTTAACTTCAATTTCAATAGAAATTAACTATTGATTTAGTATTTTTGTTACAAACAAAATTTATCATGGTCAATATCAAGTTGCTAATATGTATGCTTATTTTGAATCAATGTTTATTTAGTATCCAGGATGCTATTTCTGGTGGTGGTGCCGGTGCTACTTGTATGGACACACCTAAGCTGATAGCGTGTGCGAAAGGTTACAAGTGCAACGCCTGTCCCTGCTATAAGGGCACGTGTGTCAGTACAAGCACGTGCATTTCACGTTTGAATGTACCATGTAGCGATGCTAAACCATGTTGCGCTGATTTATTGTGCAACAAACAGTCCAAAACATGTACATTGAAAGCTTGTCCCCTAATTGGATGTTAAACTAATAACTAATTGATTAATATAAATATATATATATATATATAATAGTATTACTAGTAATATAATAATTAATTTTTGTAATTTTTATTATGTATTTTTGTTGTTGTTGTTAATTGTTATTAAAGATAAAATAAACATTTCATATTATAAAATTAAATGTTGTTTTAATTAATATTATCAAAATAAATGCTTGCTCATATTTTTTATTTAAACAAAAAAACTTTTAGAGTTAAATTTATGTATAAAATAATCATATTAAAATTAAAATAATAACTTATTATTTTTATATTAAATAAATAATAAGTAAAAATTATTATTAATCATTTATAAGTAAAAATTGTTTTTAAATATTTTTATCAAAAATAATAAATACTTTATATTTTACTGAACCAAATATAATAAAAACTTATTGTTTGTCTGATATGACAAAATAATCTATTTTTACAAATATTTTGTAATACAATTATCTATTATTGTTATAACAATAATAATATTCTTTAAAAATGTTTAAATTAATGTATAAAAAAAATTATTAATAGATTTTGATAAAACATAAAAATTTAAAATAAGTTTAACAAAATTAAAACATTAATATCATTATTGTATCTTAATAAATTGTTAAGTTTTAATGATTTTCAGTAGCTTAACATTATTTTTTTATAAAAATTATTTTACATTATAATAAATAAATTTTTTAAATATAAGTTATTAGACATATGACAGGTTTATAACAGATTTTATAAAAATAAAAATAATAAGCTAATAATAAGTTATTATTATTATTTTAGATACATTATTTTCAATTATATTGTATTATTTTATTTTTATTTAAAATGTTTACTGTTGTAGTAATTTTGTTATGTTTAAATTAAACTTATTTATGCAACATTAAATTTATGTTGTTTATTTAATATATAATTTATTAATTTATAGTAAATGTACATCATAAATTATCAACGTCATTTAATTTATACATGTACTTGACAATTTAGTATTACTAAAAATGTGTAGTAAAGTATAAAAACATAAACTAATATAGTAAACTATTATATTATGAAAAACACATTGTTAAACATACAATAGTATAGATAGCTATTAATAAAAATATATTTATATTAGAAAAAAATAAAAATTATTAATTATAATTATTTTTTTTATTATCAAACAATAATGATAGTTAAACTTATCATATTTATAGTACTACTACTGGTCAACTATTATGCTAATTGTATCGGTAATGATAATGGTTGTAATGGCCAACCATGTACTGGAAAGTTAGCTGAAAACTGTTGTCCCGGCTATAGTTGTAACGCATGTCCATGCCTGGACGGCACGTGCGTACGTGGCATTTCGTTTGTTAATGCTAAAAGATTGTGTCCTGCTATCTATTGCGAAGCTCCAAGCCAATCCAAATAATTGATAAATGTACACTGTACAATTTTTAAAGTTAAAATATTAATTTTTAATAAAAAAAAGTTTGTTTTTTGAATAGCTAAAATAAATATAATTATTTAAAAAAATATTGATATATTACTTAAAAAAAATGTAATTTTTTATTAATAAATAAACTAAAATATATAAATTTGTCAAATATTCTTGTTAATTTAAATTTATAAAATAAAGTGTTTATTAAAAATATATTTAAATGAACCATTTTATAATATTATAAATAAAATGTATATAAATAATTTCGATATATATATTTATTTTTAATTTACTTAAATAACTATACTCTGTAGTAAACAGTACTAGGTAAATTTAATAACAGATTTTTATAATTAATATTATTTTACCTGTACACTACCTGTACATTATAAACTATTGTTACAAATAATTATGTTTTTATTATTATTATATTGAATTTGATATTACAAAATTTCTGTATAATAAAAACTAGCTTACTCACTTTTTGTGTTGTAATTAATCAATCTAGCATTTAGTTTTAACATTTCTAATTAAAATATATAAATTATATAATTTTTACTAACTTTTGTTTTTTAATTTTTAAAATTTTAATCATTTGTTTATAACTATAAAACTTAGTAGATATTACTTTTATTATTAATAAATAAAAAAATCATTTATAATAAAACAAAAAGTGTTTACTAAATTTTCAAAATCAATTTTATTGAAAATCATTACATTGCATAAAATACTATTATTGGTAAAAAAAAACTAATAAAAATTTATAGATTAATATATTATTATAATATTATAATACATTATTAGTAAAATAATAATATAAAAAAAAATTAAATTGATAAAATATTTATTTTTTGTATTTAAGCAGCCAATAATTTAAGTACAACTATTAAGATAAACAAAAATTAAAAAAAAACAAAAATTAATAAAACATTAAAATGAAAATAAATACTATACTATTAGTATCATTATTACTAATAATTGTCTACAAAGTCTATAGTGTCCATTTGGCCGGTTGTGCGGGTGAACCGTGTGGTGGACTCGAGCGTAAGGGTTGCTGTACGGGTCATATGTGTAACAATGTGTGTTCATGTACTTTGGGTACGTGCGTTGCATTGAACACGTGCGGTCTGTTGAATGCAGCATGCACAAAATCTACTGATTGTTGTCCAAAATTATATTGTAATACACGTGCAACAATGCACACGTGTCGATTACTCCCAATTCCGACTAATTGTCCATGTTAATTCAAAAAAATTTTTAAACTATAATATAAATATAAAATAACTAATTACTAATATTTTAATTTTTTATATTATTTTTTTTTATTAATCAAACATTTATTTGTTTATTTTCTATTTTAATAAATGTTAATAAAGTAAATAATTTATGTATACATTGTTATTAATTAATATAATATAATATGCAATAAATATATTTTATAAAAATATATTAAGAAAATTATAATTTTTAAAAATGAGTACTTATTTATTACATTAATTAAATAAAAAATTTGATTTATATATATATATATATAATTAATAATATATATCTATAAGTAAGTTATAAGTAATACATTTTCTAACATTTTACTTTAAGATATTTAATATCTATATATATTTTATATTATTGAAAAATTAATATTTTGATTGTTTTAGACAAACATTTATACATTAATAGATTATTTATTATTGTTTCAACATCAATTTTTGTAAAAAAAAACAATCATTACATTGCAACAAATACTTTTTAAAAAATAATTTATTTTACTAACACAAAAATTATACCTGTATAAATAAATAAATATAGGTAGCTAAAATTGTTTAGTTTACAATCAGCATTATTGCAAAAACTTAACATTTTTTTAATCAAAATCAGATATAGTTGAAAAAATTAAATAATAAAATTTAAAAAAATGATATTGATTAAATTATTGTTAGCATCAATACTAATAGGGATATACTGTATCTATAGTGTCCAGTTGTTGTTGTTGTTGACCAGTAGTTGCGGAGGCAATCAATGTGGTGGTGAACCGGGAGGTAAGGGATGTTGCGATGGTTATGTATGTAACATAGTGTGTCCATGTTTTGTTGGTACGTGCGTTTCGTTGACAAAGTGCCAGGGATTTAACCAAACGTGTTCATTACCTGATGATTGTTGTCATGGATATCATTGTAGTGGACGACGTGATGAGGATCGCCGGTGTCAGAGAAATCCGTTTAGTTGTCCAGTGTTTTTGTGTAACAAGAATTGAATAAAATTTATTTTATTTTTTAAATTTTATAGTTTTTATATTATTATAAATTAATGTTAACAAACAATATTGTACTTTACATCAACAGTAAACTTATTATTTATATTAATTTCAATGTATATTGTAGCACGGGCTACGGTTAGTGGTCAAAGTGCGGGCGTTAGCGTGCGGGCGGTTCGGGTGGACAGGTTGCTGTCCAAAAAAAAAACAAGAGATTATGTCTCAAATACTTTTATTTAATTATAAGTAAAAGTGTGGGAATGACATACGTTCCCACAGCTCACCCTTATATATATGGGTCAGTTTATGACCCATTAAAAAGGGTGAGATATGGCACTAATTAGCGCCTGTGTCGGCACTCAGAAGAGGTGTCGGCACAGCGTTTGGTGTTCCTGGAACTGCCAAAGTTCTCAGGACACCTCACTCCCCCGGCGTTGTCGGTTTCGACCCGAGGGTGAAAAAGCTGGGACGAGTGAGCGGTAGCCTCGTAGCCGGGATTGTCTGCCAACGAAATACGGTAAGTCTCAGGACCGAGACGACGGCGAATAACGTATGGGCCAGTATTCGCCGGCGATAGTTTATGGCGGCTTGGGTGGTTACTGGCCAAACGACGGACAACATAATCGCCATCAACAAAGTTGGAGGCGAGATGATGGGTGTCGTGTAGCCGCTTCCTAGCATGTTTTCTGGCGTCGGAGCGAACAACTGCCAATTGCCGCGCTTGATCCGGATTAGTCTGATCAGACAAAGTATCAGTTGGTTGACCAAACTGTAGATAACGCGGCGTAAATCCAGTTGCCGAATGAGGCGCCGTGTTGTAGTGGTCAACAACTGACGCTAAAAGTGTCGACCATTTGAGTCGCGGGTTGTCCACTGATGCCAGTCGCAACCCGCGGACTATAGTTCCGTTGGCCTTTTCGCAAAGCCCGTTGGCTTGCGGATGGTACGGCGATGTCATCACATGACGTATACCGCGGTCGTCGAGAAAACGGCGAAAAGCTTTGGCGGTCAAATTTGTGCCCCGATCGCTGACCAGTTGTTTCGGCCGACCGACGGAAGAGAAGAGCTGAGTCAACACATTGACCAGAGTCGCAGTGGAATTTTTGGGCGTCGCAAAGGCCCACACATAGCGCGAATGATTATCAACTATTAGTTGTATATATTTCGCGCGTGTGCGGCCAGCAGCGGTACCCATTACCACTGTATCGATGGACCACACCTCCATAGGGTATAGAGGGGTGGAAGGCGGCTGTAGCTGACCTAATATCAACGGTGCTACCACCGTCAACCATAGCGCTGATTCGCTGGTTGTTGACCATTGCGTGGACAAAGGTAGGTCTGATGACGTCTTGTTCGCCCGATATTGCCATTGTAATGGCCTCTATTTCGGTAGCTACAAGAGAGGTGCCGACATCAGCTGAATCGGCGTTTTTCGTAGACGTGTAGCCATTTCGTTTCCGTGGACACTCACGGTTCCAGTGCCACGACGTTTCACCGGCTTCGCTGCAGTGACGGCACGGAGTTGGTGACATATCTCGGCGGGAACGTTGGTTCGGCTTTTGGTTGGTCGTTGCAACCATCGCAACATTGCGGGAAGGCGCTGAACGCTGTGGCCAACTCGGTTTTGATGCCTGTTGTTGGCGGCGTATAGTGGCCTCTAACTGTAAGGCAATGGCCAGCCATCCAACTGCTGTTGTTGGATTGGCGCACAGAAGATATCCCCTGTAGCTGGTCGGCATACCTTCTGTTAGTTGGGCGACGACATCAACTTCCTTGAGGCTAACTCGCCGCAGAGACCGCATTTTGTCATCATAGTATGACTGTACCGTTTCTGTGGGCTTAAGCCTACGGAGTTGGGCCTCAACTAGTGGGTTAGTCACGGCCGGACCAAACCGTGCCATCAGGCGCTCCCTTACGTCTGGCCAGGAGAGCGACTCCATTGATGGCGCAATATCGGCGGCGAACCAGTTGAGAGCGTCGTCGATAAGATAGGCCATAAGGCTAAAGATGCGATCCGCATCTGACTTACCTCTGGTTACGACCGCAAAAAGGTTGAGCCAGAGATCAGCCCTGATCACCGTCTTATGGCCGCAAAACTTGGCTATAAGCTGCCGGCTGGAGCAGTTACTGGACGACGAAGAGGTCTTGTCGGCCAAGCTTTCCTGTGAGGCGGTGCTGGTGTTTTCGGTGGCCATGTTTAGGGCGGTGGTGCGTTTTCCGGATCGGAGGTGAATGGTTGGTGTTGTCGGGCAAGTTGTCGGAGTTAACTTCAATTACCAACTTAGGTAAAGGACGCGTGCTTTGAGTATCGCTTTGAGATGTGTCCCGTCTTTGATCTGCGAGTCGTCTATCGGTATGTCGTAGTCTTTTGAGGCGTTTGTCTTAGAGCTTGAATTGCAATACTTTTGAAGCGTTTCCGAAGATGACAACTATTTGTTGTCGTCTTTGATGGCCGCTTGTCTTTTGGTGGCTTTGGCTGGTTGTCTTTTGGCTTCTGGTCACTAGACTTCCGGCGATTCGGGTCACTGTTCTCTTTATCTGAGTCACTGTCCGAGCTGTGAGATTGTGGCCGAAATGGTTGCATATCACACGTGTTTTTAACACTAATCACGCGGCGGTGATCCTGCCGACTGCGCCAAAATGTAGCACTGGCTACGGTTAGTGGTCAAAGTGCGGGCGTTAGCGTGCGGGCGGTTCGGGTGGACAGGTTGCTGTCCAAAAAAAACAAGAGATTATGTCTCAAATACTTTTATTTAATTATAAGTAAAAGTGTGGGAATGACATACGTTCCCACAGCTCACCCTTATATATGGGTCAGTTTATGACCCATTAAAAAGGGTGAGATATGGCACTAATTAGCGCCTGTGTCGGCACTCTCAGAAGAGGTGTCGGCACAGCGTTTGGTGTTCCTGGAACTGCCAAAGTTCTCAGGACACCTCAATATTATTTATTTTTTTAAATTAGAAAATATCTATATTTTACAAATAATATATTAAATATATTGTGTAACCAATATATTGTTTGTTAAATAAATAAAATAAATTATATTATTTATTATAGTTTCAAAATTAATTTCATAGAAAATCGTTACTTAGCATAATGACTATATATATTTTTTAAAAATTATTTCATTTACATTAAAAAATATTATTTAATAATAATAATAATTGCATTTATAAAGTTATAAAAATTGTTGAATATTATTCTAGTAGTTAGTAATACACTAATCAATTAAGTTTGTTTAACTATATTAAAAAATAAAACAAATAAATTAAAAATTTGTTTCATATCAATAATATGATGTCATTATTTTTATTAGTATTGACGCTAATAATGTTTAGCTGTATGTCTACTGGTGTCCAATTGGTCGATGCAGTTGGTGATGGTGGCGGTTGTGGTGGCCAGTCGTGTTGTCGCCAGGCCAGTTGTCGCCAGGCCAAATTTCAGCGAAAAAGCTGTTGTCCAGGCTATATGTGCAACAATCTATGTCCAATTGATGAGGGTATCTGTGTTTCGTTAAGTAAGTGTAGTTTTACACCAAACAATGATCCAAAATGTAAAAAATCCAATGAATGTTGTCGTGGCTATATTTGTGGTAATCAAGGCAAGTGTCAACCAATTAGACGGGTTGTTTGTCCGATAACTCCTTGAATGGGTCTTAATTAATTAATAAATAAATAAATAAATAAATAAATCAAATTTAATTATTATTAAAAATTTAAATAAAACATTTTACATGTTATATATATATATATATATATATAATTTTTATTTGCTATTATTAATGTTTTATTGACAATAAAAATTAATTATTTTATTATTTGACTTATTTGGATACTAATAATAAATGTTTTTTTTCTAAACAATTATAGTTTGTTTTTAATTATTTTTTTTCTCAGTAAACATTGACATAAATCAATACAGAATTAAATAATATTTAGATATATTTTTGTTGTTGACTTAACTATAAAAGCATAAAAATTATTATTAAATAATTTTTATTATAATATTAATAAATTGTAAAAAAATATGTAATAATAATTTAATTTATTAAAATATTTACTATAATATTTCAATATGATTTGTACTACTATTACTACTACTACTTATAATAATAATAATGTAAAATTGTTTTTTTTCAACAAGATAGATTGCAATAAAAAAAATATCAACAACAAAAATCAGATTTAGTAAATTTATTACAATATAACATGACTTGGTGAATTAAAATAAAAGTTATTTAATGTATAAAAAACAGCATATAGTTACAAATTATTTTACTTTTAGTTCATTGTATTTTTATTATTATATTAATACTATACAACTAAACAACAATATTATTAAATAAAAATAATTGTATAAAAAATATGATACAAAAACTATTTGTTTGTTTGTTTTTGATTTTCTGTTACACTATTTATTTGATTGAAGCAAATCAATTGTATATTCAATGTGGTGGTCCGGAAAACATCCAGTGCCCTGGTAGACTACAATGCTATGGGTGCTATTTGAAGTGTCTGTACGGTTCATGTGGACAACCGGGACTTGATATTAAATATTCATGTCTAACACCTGCACCGTGTTAATTATGTGTTTTTTTTGTAACTATTATATAATAAAAATAATATAAATTTATATCTAAAATAATTTTATTTAATTTAGCAACAAAAAAACAAGTTATAATGTATTATTAAAATGTTATGTAAGTTAAATTAACAACAAAAATAAAGTAAATATTTAAGTATTCATTTTTAGAGAGAATCAAAATATGGGGTTTAAATTTACTAAAAAATGTATTTAATTTATTTTTATAATATTATCATATAATATATATATATATATATATATGTTTCATAATATAATTAATTTCATTTATAATTACATAATGTTTGAATTAATCTTAAGTCGTTTTTTCAAAACATTTTATTTAAATATTTATAATAACTTAATATTTTTTTAAAATCAATGTTATATAAATTTTAAAAAATATAAATTTTTGTAAAAATAATTGATATACAGTATATAAATTGAAATATATGTTTATTTTAAAAATATGTGTCACATATATTGTATGTCTTTATTAATTATTAATTTAATTAAAAATTTAATTAGAAATAATAAAATATATCTATTAAAATCACATTAAAAATATAATACTACGTGGAAGTTAACATAACTAACAAAAATTTATAATACAAACTTTCAAATTTATACAGTAAACTGTATTAAAAAAATAATTATTTCTAAAATTCATCATGGTCGTATTATTTAAATTGATTGTGTTTTTTAATTTTCAATCAATGTTTGTTGACTATCCAGAACTCAATCAATAGTGCTGTTAATGTTGGTGGAGGTGGTGGTGGTGCCGGTGCTAAATGTATTGGTGGATTCAATAGCCGTGAAAAATGTGCCCCTGGCTACGAATGTGAAGCGTGTGAATGCTATTCAGGCAAATGTGTCAATTCAAGCACGTGCGGACAATTGAATCAAGCGTGCAATTATGATAAACCATGTTGTGGTAGTTATAGTTGCAACAGTCAACTCAAAACATGTGGAATGAAAGGATGTCCAATGATTGCCTGTTTAGGAATAGACTTTGTCAAAGACGTTGTATCTCCTGGTTTTTTTAGTGGTGTTGGTAGTGGTGCTGGTAGTGGTGTTGGTAGTGGTGCTGGTAGTGGTGCTGGTAGTGGTGTTGGTAGTGGTGCTGGAAGTGGTGCTGGTAGTGGAGCTCGTAGTGGTGCTGATAGTGATGCTGATGATAGTGGTGACGATAGTGATGACGATAGTGGTGATGATAGTGGTGCTGTAGCTGCTGCTGTTGTAGCTGATGGTGCTGGTAGTGGTGCTGTAGCTGCTGCTGGTGGTGTTGCCGGTGCTAGATGTGTTAAACGACCAAGAAGCACTGAAAAATGTGCACCAGGCTACGAGTGTGACGCGTGTAATTGCTATTCAGGTAAATGTGTCAATTCAAGCACGTGCGGACGTTTCAATGAAACAAGCAATGATGATGATAAGCCATGTTGTGCCAGCTATAGTTGCGACAGTAAAAGCAAAACATGTGGACTTAAAGGATGTTCATATGTTGGATGTTTTTAGTTGCAAAAATTTTATTTATAAAAAATATATAATTTAATATATTTTTTTATTTGTATCATTTAAATATTTCGATTTAAATAAATTTTTTTTAGAATTAATAGATAATACAAAAAATTATAAATATAAGGTTTTTAAATCAAATTATTTTATTAATGATCATATTAAAAATAATAATTATAATTATAATAAAAAGTTATTTAATAATTAAGAATATTTTTGATATTAAAAAATTTTGTAAGTTTTCAATTAATGTTTAATATTGTATTTTTAAAAAAAAATTTCGCTTTTAAAAATTTTTTAAAGTTTATACTTATAATAGCAAACAAAAAATAAATAAAATAAAACTTTAGTTGTCAAACATTTACAATAATAACAAAATTTTTATAGTAATTATTATTTTCATTTTAATAAATAACAATTTTCACGAATTCCTGAAAGGAATACGTATATGCATTCTGTAAGTCTGTCTGTCTGTCTGTCTGTCCCACGAGGACATAGGTTCGAATCCACTATCCGCTACAAATTTTTTTTTGAATTTTTTTTTGAATTTTTTTTTTGAATTTTTTTTGAATTTTTTTGAATATTGATTTTTTATTTTTTTCGTTTTTAAGTTTATTTTTAAGGAAAATAGTAGTTTATTTTGTAATACTGAATCATTTGATACCCCACATGACTATAGTTGTTTATTTTGTCATACTAAATCGTTTGATACCCTACATAACTATAGTTGATTTTATTTTATCATACTGAATTTAATTTTTAATTATTATTAGGAATTCGTGTGGAAATGCTTTCTAGCATTCTCAACTGGTTATAGATACTGTTAAAAAACGAAAAATTATAAAGTTATACATTTTTGTTGTTTAATTTAAAAATTGCCAAACTATTCAATTACTAAACAAAAAAGTCAACAATTTTGCTCATTTGTATAAATTGTTAGCCGATAGACTTGAGAAAGTGTTGGACAGTTTTAAAAAACCAGTTGAGAATGCTTTAAAATATTAACAATTTTAAAATATTAACAAATTATTAGTTTTAAATTAATTAATAGCTAATTACTGCTTATTGTTAAATTTTATTTTATTTTATTTTTAAAGATGATAACTAAAATAAGCTAAATTTATATAATATTATTGTTTATTAATATTTAATAGAAAGTCTGTATAGTTTCACAATGCAAACACATAGAAACAAATAAATAAAATAATAAAATAAAATTATTAACTAAACACTAAATATCTATTACAAAATATATTTTATTATAATATTAACACTTTATCAAATGATATGCTAATATATACTAGCAAATAATTTTAATTAATAATATCAAATATAAATTAGTTATTAATTATTTCATAACTAATAAAATTATATAACATTATTATTTTGGATTAATAAATATATTATTATTAAAATATGTGTTTTACTTATTAAAAATTATTCAATCAAAATTATATGATACATATTTTGTAGTATGATATATTATTAATTATTAATTTAAAGACATTGTTTAAAATATAATATATTATCAAAATTATTTTTATAACATTATCATGTAAAATATATATATATATAGCCTAATTTTCATAATATAATTAAGTTTATTTTAATTACATAATTTTTGAATTAGTCTTAAGTCTTTATTCAAATATTTATAATAATTTAATATTTTTTTTTTAAATATCAATGTTATATAGATTTTAGAAAATATATTTTTTTATATAAAAATATATGCCTATTTTAAAAATATGTGTTTCACATTATTTTGGATGTCTCTATTAATTATTAATTTAATTAGAAATTTAATTAGAAAAATAAAAAAATATATCTATTAAAAGCTCATTTAATTTATAAATTAATAGAAAAATCTTATATTAAATAAATATACTATTACGTGGAAGTTAACATAATTAACAAAAGTATATAATACAAACTTTCAATTTTATTTAGTAAATTGTTGTATTTAAAATAATTTAAAAATAATTATTTCTAAAAAATTCATCATGGTCGTATTATTTAAATTGATTGTTTGTATTTTAATTTTCAATCAATGTTTGTTGACTATCCAGAACTCAATCAATAGTGCTGTTAATGTTGGTGGAGGTGGTGGTGGTGCCGGTGCTAAATGTATTGGTGGATTCGGTGGCGATAAAAAATGTGCCCCTGGCTACGAGTGTGACGCGTGTTATTGCCAATTAGGCAAATGTGTCAATACAAGTACGTGCGGAAAGATGAATGAAGCGTGCAATGATGATGATAAACCATGTTGTAATGGTTATAGTTGCGATTATAGTTATGGTCAACACAAATCATGTGGAAGTAAACCATGTCCATTGATTGCATGTGTAGGACTAAACTCTGGTAGTGATGTTGGTAGTAATACTGGTAGTGGTTCTGGTAGTGGTTCTGGTAGTGATGCTGATAGTGATGCTGATAGTGATGCTGATAGTGATGCTGATGATAGTGTTGATGATAGTGGTGCTGTAGCTGCTGCTTTAGCTACTGCTGCTGTAGCTGCTGGTAATGGTGCTGGTAATGGTGCTGGTAATGGTGCTGGTAATGGTGCTGGTAATGGTGCTGGTAATGGTGCTGGTAATGGTGCTGGTAATGGTGCTGGTAATGGTGCTGGTAATGGTGCTGGTAATGGTGCTGGTAATGGTGCTGGTAATGGTGCTGGTARTGGTGCTGGTAGTGGTGCTGGTAATGGTGCTGGTAATGGTGCTGGTAATGGTGCTGGTAATGGTGCTGGTAATGGTGCTGGTAATGGTGCTGGTAATGGTGCTGGTAATGGTGCTGGTAATGGTGCTGTAGCAGTTGGTGGTGGTGTTGCAGGAGCTAAATGTGTTAATCGACCAAGAAGCACTGAAAAATGTGCACCAGGCTACGAGTGTGACGCGTGCGAATGCTATTCAGGCAAATGTGTCAATTCAAGCACGTGCGCACGTTTCAATGAAACATGCAATGATAATGATAAACTATGTTGTGCCGGCTATAGTTGCGTCAGTCAACTCAAAATATGTAAATATAAAGGATGTCCACTGATTGGATGTTTTTAGTTAAATAATGTTATTTACATACAATTATAAAATTTAATATTTTTTTATTTATCAAGTTAATCTATCTATTTATATAATAATATTTTCATTTAGAAATAATAATTAATACTAATAATTATTTTTATTATAAATATAAGTTTTTAAATCAAATTATTGTATTAATGATGATAATAACAATAATAATAAAAGTTATTTAATAATTAAGAATATTTTTGATAAAAAATTGTGTTATTTTTTCAATTAATGTTTGGTATTGTTTTTTAAATGATTTTTTTGCTTTAGAAGATCTATAGTTTATACTTATAATAAAAAAAATTTAAAAATATAACTTAATTTGTCAAACATTTACAATAACAACAAAATATTTATAGTAATCATTATTTTGTCTTTAATAGAAATAAAAACTTTTATAATTACTATAAAAACAAAAATTATAAATTTATATACTTTTATTGTTTTTCTAATATTGTTAAATATGTTATAAAAAATTGTTTTATAGATAAAAATAAACATAATTTTAGAACATTAATAGACAATAATGATATCATTAAAACTAATATTTTCATTAAAGCTAATACACAATTTTGATTAATAACACTATATTATTTAATTTATCAAGATTATTTTTATTTATTCTTAGATATCTAAATATTTATTTATTAATATTTTTTAATTTATTGAATTAATTTTATTTAAAAAATTTTTTTTAACTAAATTAAACTATAATAAATTTATTAATAAGTAAAATATATATCTAATTATCAAATTAATATCAATTATACTTAAAATTTATAAATCATTTATAATTTATATTACAGCTGTTTTTATTAACATATAATTTATGTACTAATAAATTAAGTTAATTTATATATTTTAATTACTAGTTTTCCATTTTAATTTTAAATTATAATGCTTTTAATATCTATCGGTTTAGCTATTGTTTTACTATTGAATACTGGATCAGGTAAATTAATTGAAATAAAAAAATATTAATAATATATTTAACTGATTATATTAATAATATTATATACAATATAATTTATAAACATATATTTATTTAATAAATATAATTACTACACACATATATATAGCCTTAAAATGTCCAGTTGATAATCTATGGCCAAAAATGCCAGACTATGGCCAGTTAGGTAAAAAATATCAATCGCTCAACGATAAGCAGCTAACTGAGCAAATCAATAACAATACACAACAACAGTGTTTGCTATACAAAGACAGTATTTGGTATAAATTTCAGGGCCTGGACTATATAGCCGAACGATTCGGTAAATTGTGTCCATCAAAACAATTGTATGACAAGCGTGTACTGGAGGCCATTGCCCAACTACCGGATCCTGGCGTACGGCACCTGCATCTACAATCCTACGCCCAATATGTCGACTATTTTGCACAGTATTTGATACAAATAAGAAATTGGCATAAAAATTGTCAAACTATTCAATTGTTGAACAAAATGGGCGAAAATTATGATGATTTGTATAAATTGTTTGCAGATAAGCGTCAGAAAGTGTTGAACAGTATGAAAAAATTGGTAGATTTAGGTACAGCTAATAAAAAACTATCAAAATTATTGTTAAAATTTAGAATTCAGGTTTGTATTGTATATATATTTTTATTTTTATTTAGAAAAAATATTTTATAAAAAAAATTAAATGTATTTATTATTTGTATTATTATTACTTTTTAAACAGAATTTAAAAGACAAAAAGCTATCTTACGATGAAATTGATGAAAATATTGCAAAAATATCCAATAAATTAGTAAAATTAAAAACATTGCAAATTCTTGTAATTGAAATACAATATTCGGCACAAATTTATGAATATTTGACTACAGTTTTATAATAATTAATAATTAGAAATATTTTATTATATAATTTATTTGTTTATCAACTTTGATTTTTGTGTATAGATTTTTGTTACATTATTTTTGCTACAATAAATTTGTATAGTTTTTATCTAATTATAAATTATTAACTTATGATACAGGCACATATAAAAACAAAAAAATATTAATATATTTTTTTATGAAACAATGCTAATATATAAAAAAACATAATTATAGACTTTTTATTGCAATATTTTATTGTATTTGTTAAATTGATTTTCACAAAATTAAACACAATATTAAGTTATGTATATTTATACTATTTTCAAAACTAATTAATTAGTAGATAAACAATATCAAAAATATATTAAAAATTACAATTTTAATTTGGCAAGCGCTTACAAAATAAAAAACAAATAATATGATAATAACTTATTATGCTTATCATTCATATTAATCATACAACTATCAATAGTTTTTTGAAATAAAATTAACCAATAATAATAAAATTAAATATAATAATCATTTAATAAAAATTATATAATTATTATAAATACAAAAGCTAAAGAAAGATATATTGTTAGTCTATTATAGACTTATAAAACAATTGTTTTATAATTAAAAAATAATAATACTATTACTTAAAACATTTATATAGACATCAACTAATAAAATGTTATCAATAAAATTTATAGTTTGCATACTAATTGTCTATTATTATTGTTGTTGTATATATAGTAGTGTTGATGCGGCCAAATGTGTTGGTGTAGGTGAATGTGGTGGACCCGATCATATCAAGTGTCCCAATGGACTAGTATGTTATGGTTGTAATCAACAATGTCTATGTGGTCACTGTAGTATTTACCATGGTCATGGTCTAGTTTGTCATAATAATATTACATGCTAATATAATATTATTATATTTTTTTTAAAAAAATAATTGCTAAAAAAATTTTTATGTAATTTTTTTATAACAAACATTAAAATATATATAATTACAAGTAATAAAAAAATATTTTGTGTGTAAAACATACTGTATTTTGTATAATGATTTCTAAAATTAATGTTTAAATAAAAAAAAATTATTAAAGTAAATTAATTAAATATATTTAATAATATAAACTATAATATTTTTGTTATTATTAATTTTACATTAATTTTTTTTGTAGTAAAAACATATTATTAATAATATATTATTAATAATATATTATTAATTTAAATTATAATGTACATGTTACTATCATTTAGATTTAATAGCTAAAATTAAGCATAGTCATATAAAATTAACCAATAACTCTATTGTACTAACTGAGCATGATAACAAAAAATAAATTATTATATAAGTTATATTAAATCATATATAAAAAGTAAGAAAATAATTTATTTATTTTCAATTAATAACTAAAATATATTTTTATACTAATCATAAACTATTACTAAAATAACAAAAAATAACAAAATAAAATGTTATCAAAACTTATAATTCTAGTATTTCTAGTATATTATTGTATGTATAGTATGGCTGATGCGGTCCAATGTAATGGCAATGATCAATGTGGTGGTCCCGATAACATACAGTGTCCGGGTTTACAAATATGTTATGGATGTAACCAACAGTGTGAATGTGGTCGATGTGTATCACCATTGTTTGGATTGGGACCTGTTTGTAGTCAACCTGAAAAATGCTAATAATATGTTTGATAATAAATAATAAATTATTATTATTATATTTTATAAATTTATTAAAATAAAAATCAAAAATATTTCTAAATAATAATTCATTTTAATCAAAATTGTATAATAATTTTAACTAAAATAAAGTAAATTATATTATGATGTGATATGTTTTTTTACAATAAATTAAAATATTATTTTTACATATTATTATTATACTACTGTTTATTGTGAAATTTTATTTTAAATGATAACTAAAATTTATATAATAATATTGTAATTAAATGTCTGTATAGTTGTTAATTGCAAATACATAGAAATAAAAAATAAAATAAAGTTATTACAGTGCAAAAATTATTAGCTAAATTATTTACAAAATATATTTTATTGTAATACTAACTTTTTTTGCAATATTACGGCAATATTATAACTTATAATTACTAATATTAAATATAAATAAGTTTTAAAATGTTTCATAAGTATTAAAATTATAGGAAATTATTATTTTGATATATTAAGTATTACGTTTATAGTACAATATGTTATACTTATTTTATTAATTATATTTCTATTAATACTAGTTTAACTATACAATTAAATGTTTTATAAAATACATAACTTAATTATTATCACAGAATTGTTGAAGATTAATAACACAATGTCTATAATTATATTTATAAATATTTAGTTTTTATTAATTTTAGTTTTCTATCTAATAATAACAGCAAACAATAATAATAAATTAAAAATATTTTTTTAAACATTTATAAAAACATTATTGTTTAATTAAATAATTGCTCTAAAATTATTTATTTATTTTAGTGCAAATGCTACAATAAAAATTTATAATATAACAAAATATAATTATTATATTATATTAACAAATAATCAAATCAATTCTAAATAAATTTATAATATATATATATATATTTTTAATTTTGAAAATATTATGTATTTTTGCATATAACAAAAATCTAGTCATAATTATTAACTAAATTATAAAGAATTAGTTTTTTTTATAATTAATTGGAATTTTTTTGAATATATTTTGAATAAAATATAAATTCTTCAAAAAAATTATTAAAATATAATATAAATTAAACAGAAATTACATTAATTTTTTTTTATAAATGTTTAGACAGAAAAATTTATATAATAATAATTTTGTTATTTTAATACTATTAGTAATGTTTAGAAATTATATTAAAAAAATTATTTTATATTAAACAAATTCCATAATATGTTTTTAAATGAAACTACATTATAATTTATTATGTCAAAAATTAACTAAAAAATAAATATAATTCAGAATATATAAAATAAATATATATATTTATTTATACTGTATAATTATCATCATTATAATTAAAAAACATAATTGTGCATGTTATTAACATAAAACAATTTTTTTAAATAAATCAAATTTTAAAAAATTCATAATACAGATGATAAAAAACAACATTTTTTGATTATGTAATAAATTAAAATCATACAAAAACACTACTATTTTTACATTTTTTACGTACATATAAATCGTATATAAATACTAATATATTTTATGTTTAACCAAAAAGTTTTTTAGAGTTAAACTAAATAATTTTAAAATAAACTATAGTATATATATATACAGTATTTTTTAAATACTATTAGTTTATAACAGTCACAAAAATGATGACAAAGTTGATAATAGTCTACATATTCATTGTATACTATTTTACGTATAGTATGGCTGATCTGGTGGACAGTCATCAGTGTAATGTCAATATTGGTCAATGTGGTGGTAAATATAATGTCAAGTGTCCCAATGAACAGATATGTTTTGGATGCAAACTAGAGTGTCAGTGTGGACAGTGTATACCGGAATCATTAAAAGATAAACCAGTACCACTATGCTCAAAATTAGATAGATGTCCTGGCAAATGTACTGGTGAGGGTGAATGTGGTGGACCCGATAACATCCAATGTCCCAATGGACAAGTATGTTACGGTTGCAATCAAAAATGTCTATGTGGTAAATGTAGTATTAAACTTGGTCCTGGTCCTGTTTGCCTTAATCCTATTTGCTAATATGCTAAATGCTAATATGATATTATTTTTTGTTTTTTTTAAATAATTATAATAATTTTTTTAAATGTAAATTCATGTAAATACAGAAAAAACATGAATTAATATCATTATTATTAATTATTTTATTTTACTATAAAACTTGTATTTTTTATAATGATTTTTAAAAATTAATAATTAATTAAATAAAATTTTAAGCAATTATTATAGTAAATTAATTAATATGTTTAAAAATATAAGTATTTTATTTAATTTTAATTAAAGTATAATATTTTTTTTGTTACTAATAAACTTGTATGTTTTTTATGTAAAAATGACATTAGTATAAATTTATTATTAATTTTTATTATATTATTTAATATTATATTATTTTATATAATATTATTTATAATGTTAATTTTAAGTATATTAAGTATTAAACTTAGTCATATGAACTATGCTAACTGAGCATGATAAAAAATATAAACAACAAAAAATTATTAAATCAAATAATGTTTAAAATGTATATTTATAATTTTAGTTATTTTTAGTATGAAAATTACTATTTTATTTAGAATTTTATGTAACTTTTTTTATTTAAACATTAATTATTAAAAATAAAACAAATATCGTCTATTATATTATACTATTTTATTTTAAAATTATTTTTATTATGTTATGTACAATAAGTAAAATGTTTTTTTTTCAAATTAAATTTATTGATAAAAATATTACAAATATCATTTTTATTAGTAATTATAATGTACATGTTA